GATTAAAAATTTCAAATTGGTTGTTTCAGAATAGTCAGAGATATACAGATTACAGCATTGGGAATATAGTAAATAATATTATAACTGTTTATGGGGTCAGGTGGGTGGGTACTTGAAACATTGAGGGGAACACTATGTAAAGTACATGATTTTCTAACCACTATGCTGTACATCTGAAACTAATACAGAATGATATTGAATATCAACTGTAATTGAAAAATAAAAAATGAATTAACTATTGATATGGACAACAACTTAGATGAAAGTGAAGGAAAGGATGTTTAGGGAGAAGAATGTCAATCTCAGTAGGGTACCTATTGCATGATACCATTTATGTATATAACATTTGTGAAGTAACATAATTATACAGATGGAAAATATATTGGTTGCTCTGGGCTATGGACAGGGAGAGAGGGTGTGGCATAGTTATAAAGTGGTAGCATAAGGGGCCAATAGTACCTGTGGTTATGGTACTATTTTCTCTCTTGATAGGTGGTGATTACACAAAGCTGTATGTGCTTTAAAATTGCTCAGAGCTATAAATACTCACACACATTCATATGTAACTTGGGGAATGTGAATAGCTCCATGGATTCTATCAATATTATTTCCTTGATTGTGACATTGCACTATAGTTACACAAGATGTTAAAATTAGAAGTCTGAGTGAAGGATGCTTGGGACTTCCATATTTCTTTACACATTACTATAGACCACAATTGTTTAAAAATGAAAAGTCAAAATGAATATAAAAATTTAAGAAATTTTAAAAATTTAGAAAGCAAATGCTGTCTTTGGATTTTTTGGGCCCTTGCAACCTTGTAAGTTCTGGTGTGGTAAAAATACATTCATCTAAGGGGGGACAAAATAAATATTTTGCATGACAGAGGTAGGATATAACTAAGATAGGTGAAATTTAACTACCTAAATAAAAACTTCCTTGACCCTTTCTAACTCTTAGCAATGATAGTGTGGTGGTGGTGGTGGTAATGGTGGTGATGGTATTGAAATACAGATAGCCCCTTCTGAAATGTCTGCCAGATACCTGACCAAGCAGCTCAACTGGTGACTCCCTTTCCAATGTGCCAGCAATGAAAAATAAAAAACCTCAAATGCAAATTTCAAAAAAAAATCAGTTAATTCCTACATAAAAGAGAAATAAAACTCATCTTTATAAATTAACTTAACCATGGGCCAGGCACTGAGCTATGTGATTTTTACTTATTCACTGGCTTAATATATGTCATTACCTTATGAAGTGGAGAATACTCCCTTTTTCATATAGATGAGGAAACTGACTCAAAGCATTGCTGTTACTTGCTCAAGGTCTCACATACTCAGCTGGGAGGATATAGAATGAGGGCTGGTACATAAATGTGTACCAATCTGTAAAATGTTTTCCCCCAAAGCAAAATAATATAATGGATGCAAATGTTACTTTTTTGAAGACTCTAAACACGTAAGTATTAAAAAATAAAGTAGGCTGTAAGGTCCTTGTAATGTCCTTGTTCTTTGAATAATATATTCTTAATTGTATGGTTGTTTTTGTGTGCACAGATATTCACGTACATCAGAACGATGGCTTGGATGGATGGGATGGGTGAAGAATGTCAAACCTGTGACACATGTTAAATCGGAAAGCTTTCTCTTGAGAAAAGCAAGTAATCCAAGCCATAGGTAGCACAACTATCTTGCAAGTAACAATCCACTGCCCAGGTGCTATTGGAAAAAAATGCATTTTCCCTTTCAATAAAAATAATTGTAGACAATAGTCTGGAATGCACCTGTAGCATTCACTTTGGGAAAAAGAGGTAGCACTTGTCACTTTACCTCTGGCTACCTCCTTTGAGAACTTTTCCCTCTACTTAATTACAGAGCTAAAGAGAACCTTCAAGGGGTAAGTAAGCTTCTGAAACTGGTGAATGCTTGAAGTGAGGAAAACAGGTCACTCCCCAGAAAAAAAGAACTTCATAGTGGGAGAGCCTCTGTCTGCCAGTGTTGCTTCTGAACTGTTTCTGAAACACTGTACCATACTTTGAGCTATTGGGATGCATCAAACAGCTGTCATATATCTCTGGGATCACCATACCCAAGTGTCTTCGTGTTTGTTGAAGGTTCGCTGCCTGATTCTGTGTCTTTACCTTTGGATTTATTTAGCAATTATACATATTGGAAAAAGTATCTATCCAGGAGTCTGGAGAATGGGACTTTAGTTAGCTTTCTGCTAGAGAGATCAAGCTCTAAAGCAAGACTGGATTTAGCAGGAAGTAGAGGGTTGAAATCCTGTCTCTAATACTTAGTAGTTGTCAGAACTTTGAAAATTATTTAAACTTTCAGTATTTACCTCATGCAACTGTTGTGAAGACTGAGTAATTGGTACATGGTGTAAGAGTATAGTAGTTGTACTTATTATTGTTATTATTATTATTATTCTAAAGAGTGCCTTTGACCAAAGTTTATCTCTCTGGGCATCCACACCTAGGAAACAAGAATCTTGAAATACACGAGGTGTTGAAGGTCTTTCCTGATCTAATGGTGACAGATAAGTTTTGGAGTAAAGAAAAGTGAGGCAGTGCATATGAGGTTCTCTTGCTAACTTTATTTCAGACTGTCAGCAGTCTGTCTCTTCCTCCTGAATGTATGAGCAGAACCCAGAGGTAAGTGTGTGGAACTGGGGTGAGGGAGAGTGGGTAGAAATCTATCTCTGAACACAAAGATATCATGATCAGAGTGGGTTCATGCCTAACTTAGAAGCTGAACCAGGGGTGTGTTTGTCAGGTATCTTTGGAGAATGACAGTGTAGTGGCATCAGCACTTACGCCTTAAACTTCAGCAGGTAAGTGTTTTATACCAAATATCTGTGTCCCCCCCCAAATTCATATGTTGAAATTTAATTCACAATGTGATGGTATTTAAAGGTGAGGCTTTTGGGAGGTGATTAAGTCATGAGGGTGGAGCCTTTACATGAGGAGGTCAGAAAGCTAGCTCACTCTTCTTTCTGCCATGTGAGGATACCAGTACAAGTCAGTCATCTGCAACATAGAAGAGGCTTTTTACCAAAACCTGATCATCCTGACATCATGATCTTAGATGTCCAGCATTCAGAACTGTCAGAAATAAATTCTGGTTGTTAGTGAAAAAACCAAATTTAAGATCTTTTATTATAACAGTCCAAACAGTGAGTATGTTTGGAAGGAACTTCGTTAGAAGGTGAAGAGGGTTTATTATTTGCTTTGAAAAAATTCCACTTCAAGTAATTTGCTGCTGATGAAAAGAGTTGGTCCTGCAGAATAATTTCATAGGTGTCTATGTAATCATGAAGTTAGGCAGAGAAGAAAGGGCCAAGGATCTGGGGAACTGATAAAACATAAATCATGGTTCTTCAGTCATTCAATTTCTTTTGTTACCTTGGAAGTGCAGTGTGGGGATAAAAGAGAGAAAACAGTGGATGAAGATCAAAGCTGTGGTCCTTTTAAAACCTTTGACTAATTGGCTATCTTTTGACACTTTGCTTCCAACAATGTTTTGTTGTAGGTATAAATTATTAATCCTACTTTACAGACAAAGAAACTGAGGTCAAGAGATAATCTAATAACAAACATCAACAATCTTCAATGTTCAATAAATATGTCTATTTATCACATCCATTCCAAGCCATCATTTCTCACCTTGACTAGAGCAATAACCTTCTAACTGATATTCCTACTTCCATTGTTACTTCCTTACAATCTATTCTTTATACAATAGCCAAAGTGATTCTTTTTAAAATTTTTTATTTATTTATTGAGTTTTAGAGAGGGAAGAAATGAGAGAGAGAGAGAGAGACACCAATTTGTTGTTCCACTTATTTATACATACATTGGTTGATTCTTGTATGTGTCCTGACTGGGGATCGAACCCGTAACCTTGGCATATAAAGACTATGCTCTAACCAACTGAGCTACCCAGCTAGGGCTCAAAGTGATTCTTTAAAAATATATTTGTACTGATTTCAGAGAGAAGAAGGGAGAGGGAGAGAGATAGAAACATTGATGAGAGAGAAACCTCAACCAGCTACTTCTTGCATGCCCCCTACTGGGGATCCAGCCTGCAATCTGGGCATGTGTCGTGACCAGGAATAGAACCAATGACCTCTCGGTTCATAGGTCAATGCTTAACTACTGAGTCACACCTGCTGGGCTCAAAGTGATTTTTTAAAAATACAAGTCAGACCATGTCATCTCACAGTTCTGAACCCTCCAATGGCTGCTCATCTCACAAAGAATAAAATCATAAATTCACAAAGCCTAAATGATCTTGTCCTTATATAATTCAAAAAGTTCATCTCATGTCATACTATTTCCTGCTCCCTCTTTTCCAGGTGTGTTCCCAGCAATACAATGGCACCCAGAACAAAATAGGCATGGAATAAATATTTGCTGAAATAAATTAGTGAATAAATCAATGAAAGAATGTATGCCATGTGCCTGAAACAGTGCTGGGAATCAACTTTAAGTGGAGGCCAGGAAAATACACAGTATAACCCCTTCCTTTAGAGAACTAACATTCTGAGTATAGAAACAGACCCTCTGCCAGCCTGGGAAAACAATGAGGAGAACTAGAAAGGAGTAGAATGCAAACATGATTATATTCTATCCTCAAATATAGGATAGAATGTGCCAGAAACTGCATCTTCAGTTTCCTCCTCTTCTCAATATCCATTAATCCCAAATTTTAACCTTGGTTAATCTATCTTCTCAGCAATTTCAAATGGTATTAGAAAAATTTGAAAAAAAAGTGAGGGCTTTAGATATAATGCCCAGAAGGTCTGTGGCTTCTGGGGACTATCTAGGAAGATGTCTCTCATCACTAAGGTGCAAAGGTGCACCCATATCCCAAGTGCCACTGAGAGAGAGAAATCATATATTTGGTAACATGTCTTTTATTGACTCTGTGGATTAGATTCATACTAGTATATGTGCATCTCTTCCTTGATTGCATATCCTTAAGTATGGTACTCACTCTATGGTCATCATCCCATGTGGCCAGAAGTGATTTTCCAGGTGCTTCTGGGTCTTGATCTCATTCCAATTCAGCACAGTTGCATAATCTCCTTCAAAGTCCTGGACAGAAAAAGGATAAAGGTATTAGTATAGTACCTGACCCATGGAATCAAGCATCTGAGAAGTTGATGAAGGCTTGCAGGATATGGTCTACCCTTCTTCCTTTTAGGAAGCTGAGTACCTAATACCCAGCTAAAAACCATTCCTCAGCTTCCCTTGAAGCCAGGTGTGGCCCTGTGAAATTTAGATATGGGCAGAAGTGATGTGTGCAACTTTAGGGTCATTCCTTAAAAAGAAAATTGCTGGTCTTTGATTTCCATTCTTTCCATTTCTTTCAGGCTTGTATGCAGATAAGCCAGCTGTAACCACATGAATAAAGACAATCCCCTATGCCCTAAGGAAAAGTAAAGTAACAATAAAAAAATTAGTGAATAAATCAATAGATCTTTAGATTACTTCCTAGAGCTGAGTTATTTCTTGGTATAAACTGACCCCTTACTCCTGGACTATCATTATGTGAGAGAGAAAGAAACTTCTAACTTTTTAAACATTTTGTTTAAAGTTGAAAAGCCATTTTTATTGAGGAATTTGGAGGAAGATATTTCTATCTTATTAAAATCCTTGTATTTTAGGGATTTTTAAAAATTATAATAGCTTAGCCTATCCCCTAATTAATAAGTTTCTCTGTCAGAGAATAGCCAATGTGGAGTCTCAGAGAAGTACTGTGTTTTTATTTTTGTTTTTGTCATGTTAATTTATGACTAGAGAAAGTCTATACATTTCTTTGGACCCAAGGGTTTACTTATTTTAACTTCTGCATTGGGTTATTAGGTGAAGATAAAATTATCTGTGTGTCTTTATTGAAGAATTTGTAAGAAAAACGGATAAACCCTCTGTAAAAAGAGGAAATGTCGCCTCCAAACAGCATGGAGGAATGAAACTTGGGTGGCTTCCCACAAGTCAGTGTTTCCAGCACAACGGGCTCTCTTCTCCTGTCAAACACTAGACATGTCACACTACTGTTAGCAGCTCCCACCCACCCCTCCTCATCTCTCCTCCCCATCCCACAACCCTGGGTCCCCTACAGCCAGGTACCAATGGTTTTCTGAAGGCCCAGGGATAGATGCACTAGGCTTGCATCTTAACTGGGTCAAAATGGGTTTTGCTTTGGAAATTCAAACAGGAATGTAAAATGGTTGAGCTCTTTCTAGTCCAATCAAAGATGACTACTCCATCCCCTTTGAAGGGAGGAAAGGATTTCCCTTCTGAATGTGCACACGTGTGGGGTAAATGGACTATATCATAGTCTGCTCTTCACTAGCATGGAGAATGGAAACAAGGTTAGAAGAATATATAGTATCCATATTAAAGAGTCACTGAGTTCTAGAGGGCTAAGGGAGCACTGAGGCTTTCTGATTCCAGCCAGTGCTCCTGCTGGCTACCCTGAAGTCCTGGGGATGGTCATTCCTCGCCAACTGGGAGATTGTTCTCAATCTACCTGATTAACTTCATCCAGATTTCTGTCACACTGTCTCCTTTCAGGGTATTCTGCGTGAACTTGGCCTCCACAGCCATCTGGACCACCTCCAAAGCTCCCCAAAACACCCCACACAAAAGACTGGAATAAATAAGGGATGAGTGGTTATCAGGAAGTTTCACAAAGTCCACCAAGGATTTATTTTCCAAAATGAGGGAGAATTCATCACCAGCTGGGCTCCAATTTGTGATACTTGGAATGATGCCCAAGTACATCTTGAACTTCACATTGGCAGTTTCCTGAAAGTCATGGCACTTCCCCACATTTGACCGTGCCAAGAAATCTTCAGTCGAACTCCAATGTTATAGCCAATTTTGTCCAGCTGTTTATTCACATCTTTGTCATTTTCCTAGACCTTGCATAGTTGGGTGACCAAAGCCCCATTGGTCAGGGTGAAGACCTCAGAGCTCATTTTCTTGCTCTCAGTGCCATGGTTCCCCTACCTTGACATGGTGCTGGCCACCCCAACCCACCTCATCACAGGCCCACTTGGTGACCCCTTCAGACCTATGTGAGGGTTTTATATAAATTTTCATCATGCTATAATCATCCTCTGCTCAAATCAGAGTTCAACTATCAGTTAGGAGTTAAGACTGCTAACATCAGCTTTATAAAGCCATACTGGCAACTGTTAAATGCAAGAGGAGCAATCGGTATTGTGGTAGGCAGTTAGACAAACATGAGCAAGGCAAGGATGATGGGCCAGGTACAGAAGGTTACCAGGGTGGAAAGCCCCCGGTGCCTAGCAATGGACAATCAATTGTAGGGTGGGACCTCACCCCCTGGGTGATTTTTCCTACAAAGCATATCACTGGTCATGTGGTTTGGACCTCCTGACCTTTCCTCCATAGAGATAACATCTATGCCTCAATTGTATTTTTAGCTCTAAGCCCAAAAAGCAGCAAAACCAGATCAGTGACTCCATGGTTGCCCTCAGGACCAGCTGCATTGAATAATGACCCCCTACCCTGGCACTCAGGAATCAATCAGTGGAGACCACAACCCTGAGAGGACACAACTGGAAAGCTACTGAATATTCTATTAAGATCTTCCCCTGGGACCTCCCATAAAAATCTCCACCTTTAAAACCTTTAGGATGAGGACCTAATGGCTTTCCCTACAAGGAGAATGCCCATGGCTTTCCCTTTCCCTTCCCCCCTCCTCCCCCTGCCCCAGGCATGTTACCATTAGCTTCCTCACTCCCAAGCTCCAAAGGCCATTCCTTTATCTCTATAACTTGTTTCCTAAGTCCACTTCTTCCAGGAATTACTTCTTCTACCTCTGTGATTGACTAAATAAATATTCTCTTACAGTTTGGGTCTTTGCTCTGAATTCTTTCCTAGCCAGAACCCAAGTACCGAGGTTGCTGAACCCAGGTCCAGTCTGACCCCATGGATCTAACACCCAGTGCTATTCCCACTGCCTACAACAGTATGCTGGTTAATGTTTAACAAATAGCCAACTCCCCCTGCCCCCCGAAAAAAAAAGCTTAATTCAGATAATTCACTAATTTCTATGATATAAATACTCTCACCACAGATTATTTCAAGTTATCAATGTGACATCACAGAATGTGGAAGTTGGGAGGACATGCACCCAATTGAATCTTGAGAGCTGGTACAAGCCAGATTCCAGCTCACGACTGATCAGAGCCCTCATTCTGCCACGATTTTAGCTAAGAGATCTTAGGAAAGCCACTTCCACTATCTAAGACTGTTTCCTCATCTGTAAAATGTAGATAATACTTTGTCTTTCCTCCTAACTAGAGTTGTTGTTAATGTTATAGCATAATAAAAGTTAAGAAAATTCGAGGACAAGTGGAATAGGGAAACTAAGATAGAGTTAAACAGCAGTTTGCAGACATCTGGTAAATCCCATCTTCCCTAAATCAAGGACACTTGAGAGTAAACGGTTTGTACTTCTCTTCCTAAGCCAGAGGATAGATAGCTTAAACCACCCCACTCAGGGAACAGATAACAAATCCAATTAGTGTCATTTGCCAACCACACCCAAAGACTGACAAATTAAGAGAATAAATCTCATTTTGGTACACTAGCATAAAGCTGATGAATATTCTATTAATTCACCCCTAATACCTCCCCTAAATGCACAGCCTTTAAAACTCAAAAAAAAAAAAATGAAACTAGACCACCAACTTACACCATACACAAAAATAAACTCAAAATGGATAAAGGACTTAAACATAAGACGGGAAACCATAAAAATACTAGAGGAATCCACAGGCAGCAAAATCTCAG